CTCATGAATCATCCTCTGAATCTCATCATCACTAGTCCCACTGCCTCCAGGGTTGTGGCGTGTACCCACCATGATGCCTCTGAAACACAACACAAAATCATCAGAGACTCTCTCGAGCATACTCACACTCGATCACCCATCCCTACTTGTTCCTTAGCTTCCTAAGGATTCTTACTTGCGTTGCATACAGATCTGATGTTTTCAGTAGTACAAGCCCAATACTACCTTCCACACCCGGCCTGTAGTCACCCCAAGTCCCCCTCCTAGGATTCTAATTCCCAAGTACTCTATCTCTCTCAATATCAGACTACTCCTCGTCTCAGAATTCTCTCTCTAAGTGCTCATTCTCACTACTCTCATTAGCACATACTCAAAGCACATAACAGGTAACAGCGACTCCTAAGCTAAGGCATCACAAATCAGGTAACCCTAGCCCTAAGATATGAAATACCTAGCTCTTTCTCTAGCATGCATCACTATCATTTCATAATTATCTCATAACACATTAAGTAAGGGTATTTTGGGAAATCACCGTTCGGGCTCTGACTGATTGTACACACTGCTCCATCTCGATTTCTCTTAAAACTCTTTCCTTTTTTTTTGAAAAATTAATTTCTTTTGAAAATTTTTCTCAAATCCTCAGTTTGAGTCCAGACATACCCGAAGATGCATCTGAATCCCTCAAACCAAGGCTCTGATACCAACTTGTAACAACGTAAATTTTCAAACCAAATTTTTTAGATTTTAAAACACATTTTTCTCAATTCAAACATCTCACAAAAGTGTTATAGTATCAAATCATCCAACACATATCCCAAAAACTGTATATATAACAAATCCAGGATCCTCTCAAAACATGACTCAAATCTCTGACGTGTGTACAATCAAGTCGGCGCCTTCCCGTGATCCTGAGAAGTACCTGAAACACATAACACATAACACTGTAAGCACAAAGCTTAGTGAGTTCCCCAAAATACCACTCATATATCATCAGCCTCTCATGGCTATGCTCAGATAAGACCCTCTGGTCAAGTGTGTCTCAGTGAGACCCTCTGGTCCCACAACTCAGATGGACCCTTCGGTCCCTCAACTCAGTAGCTCAATAAAACACAGCATACATATCACAAAGACAAATAAGCAGGATATCTCAATACACAGTATATGCACATAAGACCCTCCGGTCACACATATATTACCACTCAAGGTAAGTATAGTGAGAAGACTCACCTTGTAGGAACTTGGATAATCTTGAACTCGAATCACCGGTCTAGCCTCGGCCTAACACAACAATAATAATCCCTAATTAATAAGGCTCTCACTGAAGCTAAACTAACCCTTCTACAAACTCACAGAAGGGAAAAATACCATTTTACCCCTCCATGGCCTTATAGTCCACAAATTGACCAAACCCTAAAAGTCAACCGAAAGTCAACGGCAGGGAGTATGTTGCGCATACCAACTCTCTACGCTGGGCGTACTCGGCTGCCATGCAAGCATCGGGGATGCTCGACCCCTACGTTGCGCGTACTGGGATTACGCCCAGCGTACATCCCAGTTTCACTCTCCTCACATTTTTGGTCTTAATCAGTTAAGACCTTGGCTCATATCACAAATCTGGACTCCCTAATATCTCTTAATCCATAAAGTCGGTGACTTTAAGCCTTTGCATGGCTGATTAGGACACAAATACTCAAAACACTCATCCTCTTTCCTCATTAAGCTCATATCTCATGCATGGCTTACTCCTAACGTCCAAGATTGGATTTTTATAACTTTACTCCACAAATACACTAAAAGGGGGGTAGATTAGATCAAGGTCTAGAGCTCATTATCTCATAAAGTCTCCATCTTTTGGGAGGAAACCCTAAAATACTCCATATAAATGCACAAATCAAAAGAGTGAGAAAGCTTGAAGCTTTTTACCTCTATGTGAAGCTTTCCACACAACTAAGCTCAAATCCAAAAGCCTGGACTCTCACTCCTTCTTCTCCACTTCAAGAACACAAGAATACACTCACAAGCTCTCAAATGCACTCACAAGCTATAAGAACGAAGATTTAGGGTTAAGAGGGTTTGGTGTCTGGGAATGGTGGCCAGGAATGAGGCCATCATATCCTTTATATAGGGTCACACCCTAAATTAGGGTTTTGACTCTGGGCTTAGTACGCCCAGTGTACCCTCCGGTACGCCCAGCGTACTAGGTGGTCTCCGCGTCAAATGCACGCATATGAGTACGCTGAGCGTACACTCTAGTACGCCCCGCATACTCATTTACCACATTTTCTCTAAAAAGGGCCAAAATGGACAAATGCTCAATAGATCAAGGTTTACAAGGTATACCTGGACTTGGGATGTTACAGGTACAGCTGAGTACGCCGTGTGTACTTAGTCAGAGTGGGCTTCACATATTTGGGCCTCAGTTTGGGCCATTTCCTGGACCTATTTGCTTTGGGCCTTAGTGAGCCATCTGAAAACAGGCTTTTGGACTAAGGATATTATTGGGCTTTAGGGTAAGGCCCATTAGAGGGGTTTGGGCCCAATATGGAAAATTGGGCCATAAGTGGGCAACAAGTGGGCCTTGGAAGATTATCTAGTGTTGGGCCTTTTATATTGTGGATTTGGGCCTTAGTCATGGATGAAGTTAAGCCAGGGGTAAAATGGTAATTTTACCCTAATTATGGAGTATTGGATATATATATTTAAACCCAAGTATTTATTGGGTGTTATTTTGTACTGGTAGCTTGAGGAGTCGTTAGGGCAGCAACTAGGGATTTCTTTCTGTGAGATTCAACATTTGAGGTGAGTTTCCTCACTGGGTTTAGCGGGTCGAAGGCACCAATGTCGACCCTTCTTGTTTATATTAGGATGCTAGGAGTCTACATGACCCTTGCATGTGTTATGTGCTGCTATGTATACCAGGCTAGGCTCGATGTCAGGCGAGGCCTGAGGACTGGAACATATGCTAGTATTATGATTATTATATGTGTCAACATGATTATGTGATATTGATTGTATGTGTATAGCGGGTGAGGCCTGAGAATAACAG